CCCTTTATTTTCAAAGAATGTTACTGACTAGGAGGGGTTTTCTGGTCTCTGCCTTATCCCACACAAAAGACACCTTTACTTGAGTAATGGTGCACTGTGAGTGGATCATAAGCTGGCAAGCCTGCAGCACTGCTACCTTTGCGTTTATGATTTATCACACTCTGTATGTGAGAAGAATCCCACAAGGGATTTCCAACACCTGTGATGGTAGGAAGGGTCAATGTTGATGTAAGCTTGTCACAAAGGCAGCAGGGAGCCCATGGACCTCTAACTGATTGTGACAGCATGGGTGCAGGCTTATAGCTGGCTGTAAGCATGGAGTCTTTGGTGCACTCAGTAAAATGGCATGTACACTATGAACCAAGATAGGAGGCATCTGTGCAGACTCCCTGGGTCTAGGAAGAAAAAGGGTGCCAATTTTAAAAAAGGTGGTGACCCCACACCGTCCAGCTTACAACTGAAATCAACACCACCAGACTTTGCAGCTGGACACTGTCACAGCTACCTTACTGGGAAGTGAATGGAGTAAGGAACACGCTCAGAGGCACCCCAATAAAAGTCATAAACCCGATTTACCACCTTTGGTGCAGTCCCACTGCACATAGGAGAACACCGGCAGGAAATGCACACAGACCGCCCCTTAGTGGGAAACAGGACAGGGGACAGTCATGTATGAACCACAGCCATAGACCTGTAAAGCTCTCTGTGGCTCCCATGCATGTTGCTCTAAGGGGTGGTCACCTAATGCAGTGGTACAGTGCACAAAGGCACATTAAAGGCCATCTCTGTATCTGCTTCCCAGAGGATAGGGTTTGGAAGGGGATCAGCCAATCCAGAAAACTGCAAAATGAGCTACAAGATTTCTGAATTGAAGAAATTTGTTAGAAATAGAAAACTTGAGGAAAAACAAAAAACAGTGTTGCTTTTCTTAGAGCAGAGAGATATCTGTCTCCTAAGGACCCTAGCAAAAACTTGTTGGTAGTGGGAGGGGTTATGTAGGGCTTCCCCCAAAACCCAATGTCCAATCTCTTGAAGGGGGCAGCACAACCCTATATTCCTGAATATCATACATGTGTAATGTAATGTACAATAAAGAAACAGAAAGGTATATATTACCTTAGATTGTACGCTCCTTGAGAGTTAGGGACTGATGTGAATGTACAATATATATGTAAAGCGCTGCGTAAATTGACAGCGCTATAGAAGTACCTGAAATATAGTCTATGCTAAATTTTAGCCAAATTGACCCCCCACAAAAAAAAAAAAAAAAAACTGAAAACACCTAAAATAACTAAATAAAATAAAATGTCCCAAAAAATAAATGTCCAAAAATGTCTCTGTTATAAAGTGTCTTTCCAACCTCCAAATCAAACCGTATCACTCTTTAATAATCCAGTGTAGAAATTCCAAATTCTTTAAATTCTCAGTGAACCTCAAAAAATGTAAAAAAAAACTTAAGATAGTGTATTACCTTTTAACTAAACATAAATAAAAAGGTGAAACAAATAGTGTATCATGCAAACTGCATTCACAAGTCAATTCACAACTGCATTCACAAGTGACGAAACGCATTGGACACGTGACGTCTGATGCACTCACGCAGAACCGGAAGTGCTGTCGCGGTCATTTTGGAAGTGGGAACATGCGGTTTTTCCATACTAGGACTACACCTGAGCTGTTCTCAATGCTGGAAGCTGGTTTTCTTCTATTTTAATGTAAGATACTAAATAAATGTTTACATATTTTGATATATACCACCTTTAATCTCCTATTTTACCTTATGAGTTATATAGAAGAGTGGCAACAGGAACATTAAGAAGCCTGGAGAGTGCTACTATCCATTGGTTTGTGCAAAGCCTGTCATTACCTCCAAAGGGTAATTATCCATTATTGCACCAGTTGGAGGAAATCACTTTATTTTCACCATTATTGATTTTGAAGTGTTCACTACTAGAGATTGGGTATATGGAAGTATGACCAAAGGAGTGGTATAGAGCTTGGAGAGTTATATCACTTTCTGACCAAAATGTTTGGTTAAGTTTGTCATTTTCTTCCTTAGGGTAATTATTTATTCTCACTATTTGGAGGTGATCACAAATTTTTTCATTGTGTGGAGTTGGAGTGTTCACTATTTGATTATATTCACGTGTGCATTTATATTGAGATATTGATATATTTTAAATAGTTGTATATATATATATATATATATATATATATATATATATTTTTTTTTTTTTTTTTTTTTTTTTTTTCCCCCTCACGTGTCAGTAGAGTGTGTACATGATATGCAGCTTGCATGATACACCGTTTCACCTTTTTATTTATGTTTAGTTAAAAGGTAATACACTATCTTAAGTTTATATTTTTTGAGGTTCACTGAGAATTTAAAGAATTTGGAATTTCTACACTGGATTATTAAAAAGAGTAATACGATTTGAGTTGGAGGTTGGAAAGACACTTTATAACAGACACTTTTGGACATTTATTTTATTTAGTTATATATGTATTAGTTTATGTTAAGATTGGGATAGATTTATTTATGTCGCAAAGAAGAGTTTAGTTACAATTACGTTTACTTTCAAGGGTGTTTCAAGTTTTTTGCTTTTTCTTAGGGTGTAGTAGTTATTGTTATAGTTGGGAGTGTGCGGAGATATTGTTTATTGAAAGCTGAAAACACAAAACCAAATGAAAACACAAATGACATCACAGTTAAAAATGATACTTTTATTTTAAATTTAAGTAAACTGAGAAAGCTTCTCTTGGTAGCTGCATGATTGTTTTCTTTCTTTAAATGATTATAGGCCCAAGCAATTTGGTACAAAGGCTTTTCCAGCTAGGGATAATAATTAGAAAAAATAAAATGAAAAAAGTAGGTTAAGGAATGATTGATACATACACAAGACTGTAAGGATGCAGAGGGACATCATGTCTGCTTTCTACAATCCCACACTAGAGTAAGAATGAAAGTGCATTGAACGAGGGAGGAGGACAGAAGAGAGTTTGGTCCAGTTAGAAGAGAATGTGCTCATGATCGGTCAGTGGGCATAAAAATGCTTGCAATTCCACCATGGTCATTAGGCTTTATGTATAGTGTTTCTGTGTGTCTCTTCAGAAATACAGATTTGTCATTGCCACACACATAAACCCATCAAGCACTTCGGATTCTAAAATATGTTACACTGCATATAAAGGAATGTACATAGTATTTCTTTCAGACATTTTGTGGAATTATCTGTCCCTCCACAGGTATTCACATTGTGTTCCAGTTACTTCAATTGTAATTGTGCTTTAAGTGTAATATCAAGAATACTGGAATGACTTGTGCTTGATCCTCAGTGTTGCAGTCTGCCTCCTTTCTCAAGCTCAGCTTTCAATCTTTTGTCTGAGAGCACCATTATATCAAAATGCACCACAACAGAGCATGAATTGTCCAAGCCTGAGAAGGAATAAATTAGAGTATATAAGGCAGATAAAGCAAAAGGCAGCAGATTTTTGGCTCAATGGGCATCTGGTAAAATATGTGTATTAAGTTGGCACCAGAAGACTATATATGCTCATAGAAACAGCTGCACCTTGAAACTCACCAACAGAAATATTTCAGCAGCTTTCTGTGACTTCCACACACACTGTTGAAACAAAATGTAGCAGGCAGCACTAAATCATATTAGGCTTTGTGCCACAAGGCAAAAATGCACCTCTCTATCACCCGACAACCTACAGTAGCGTGCAGGTCATTTATCCACTACAAAACATGAAAGGCAATGGATGTTGTCACCAGGGAAAAGGTAGACATGTTAAGAGTCAAAATGGTCTTTGTGCAGCGCCTCCACATTTGTTCAATTTCACAATGAAATAGGTTTAATTTTTCTTATTCCTCCAAAATACAACTGTGGACTAACAAAATACAAAAGAAAAAATATATACACACATATTTATAAAATATATCAAGTTGGGAGAAAACAAGAAAATGAAAGCAAATTAAGTATTTTATCTAATGATATTATAATTAAATCTTCCAAGCTGTTTATTATTCCACTATACTAAATATAGATTTAAAATATCGGAAATAAAAAAAAAACTGAATGGCATATTTCTGGCAAAGGAAAGGTTAATCACAGCAGTGGATGTTGCAGACTGTCAAAGGTGGATTTCAAAGAGAAAAGAGGGTGCTTATTGGCATCTGCTTTAAAAGGCTGTTATCCACAGGTGTGTAAGATTATGAATACTAGTATGAAGATTTGACTCCTTCCACATCAGTGATATCACAAGATTCCCACAACAGCACCATAACTTAAGCCCCTGTTTAACCATTTCTAAACCAGTCAGAGCTAAAAACAGGTTTACAACTAATGTGACAGTATTTAAGGTAAACTAAGCAGAAATAATGTAAAGTCCTGCAAGTTGATGTGCCACTGCCAAAAGTCTGAGGCAAAGGATACTAGGCGATTTTTGAGGTGTACAAGCATCATACGTCATTGCATTATTTCTAGACTGAACATCTCAATTTAGCTATGTAAGCTACCTGGTGCTAACTGTTCTTATCTAAGAACAAATATAGAAACCTTTTTACATTTGGGAAGCCATATTTTAAATGGACAGACATTTCTCAGTTTCAAGGTAAAAATTCACAGATTAAGTAGAATTGATGGAGAAGACAAAAAACAAAAAATATGGGGTGGAAATGTCCCGGGTGACTGGTCTGCTCCTTTTAACCTTTAAAAGTATTTTTTATAATAGTGCAAAGCGCATAAACAAGTCAGACAGAAAAGAAAAAAAGAAGGGAGGTGTTGAAGAGGGAGACCTCTGCCCAATGTGGTCCCTCCAGTGTCTAAAAGATCAAGCCAGAGGTAATTTCTCGCCTGCCAGCAAAGGACAGCAGAGAGGCCTTCAAGAGAGAATGCTATAAAGAGAATTGGAGCCCATCCTTCCCATGGCCGGGAGAGGAATGCACTGGAATGATTCATGATTTTCTGTGAGAAAGATGAAGCATGTTCTTCTGTTCAGATGGCTTCAACATAATTGGCAGGAAGCATGCCCGTGTCCCCTGTGCGCTCAACAGTTCCATACATCCACCCATCATCGATCTGCTGCACGTTGATAATTGTGTCACCATCCTGGAAGGACACCTCATCTTCATCTGCTGCATTATAATCATAGACAGCACGGTAGCGCTTCTGTAAACAAGGGAAAAATATATAGGATCTTTAAATTTCCAGACATACATGAAATACCAAAGTCAGCATTTCTGGTTGGAGCCCAGTTCTATGACCACTTTTTTCAGCAAGTACACACTCTCTGTTTTGAGATTATCACTTCTAATGGTCATAAGTATGTGAGGGGAATGTGATAAGTAATCCTGCTTAAAACACCTGTCATGAAAGAAACTGGCTGGCTGCCATTGCTTACCCTCTGATGAAAACCCTAGTTTGTGGGTTTTCAAACTAACCCTCTGGAGATTAACACTTCCTATGTCAATGACCCAGAACAAGTATGCAGATCATGAATTCTGAATTCCCTGGCTGTATGTTTGTCCTAGTTCAGGGTTCCAGAAAGTACAAAAATGGGATATTTTTTGTTACATGTAAACTAAAACCAGCTCTCTTCTATTCTTGACCATTGTGTTTATAGCGCCACCTACAGCAGTAGGGCACTAGGCAGAAAAAGAACACAGCACGGCCCTATGTGCAGTCCTAGCTGGTATAAACCCTCTCTCTGCTACAGGTAATCCAGTTAGTTACAAAGCAGTGGAAGTTGAAAACCGCAAGAGGTGTGGGTGCGGTGTCTGAGAAATTGCCAGACATAGTTCTCTTCTATTCTGGACCATAGGGACATTTCAAAGCAGTGCCTCAATAAGGGGTGGGCAAACAAATAGAAAAAACATGGAGCAACCAGGCAAGCATACCAGCCACCTACACAAAGCCCCCATGAAGAACAAGGAACCCTAGACCGTGTCTTGCAAAAACTATGCGGAAAATACAAGCACCCAAGGATGCAAATACAGCAACCTAACAACTATGGAAAAAGTGTGCACAGACAACCAGGTAGCCGTCGTGCAAACCTAAGGCACAGAAACCCAGTAGTGTAACACCCAAGGGACACTAATCACTCTGTAGGATTGTGCCATGACGAGGAAGGGCGGAGCATGACCCTTAACAGTAAGGAATGGAACTTCAAAACCCACAGGAATAGTGACAGAGGAGGCTGCCAGGTCTTTTAATCACAAAAAAAAAAAAAAAAAAGTAATCAGATCACCTGAGGGGAAACCGGCACAGAGAGGTATACACAAACTGCTCAAGTCACAACCAAGGAGTGCAGTGCAACTTCCTCAGGATGCAAAGATCGAGGACACAGGGAAGACAGGACAAAGTTCTCATCAGGTGGAAACCTGACACCCCCTTCAAAAAGGAGGAGGGTCACAAACTGAGAACCTCCATATCTCTGTGTAAGACCAAGAGGAAAACATATATAGGATAAGGTCACCAGTTGCAACACACGCCGTGCGGAGATGAAGGTGACCAAAAACAGCAATCCTCAGACAGCATAATTAGGAGAATACCCTGAATCCCAAACAAAGGGAGGCGGCTGAAGGACAGAAAAGAACCAAGTGCTAAGCTCACAACAGCAACAGGGAATGCACAGGAGGTGCCACATGGCAAACCTGTTGGATGAAACCAAGCAGTGTGCGGGCCAAGGGTTGCAGAAGGAGACCGCAACGGCCGAAAACCGTCCGAGAACGTTACCCAAGGCAAGCTGTTCAATGCCCTGTTGGAAAGACCAAAAATATGAGTCACCAAAAAGGGACATGGATCTACACCCAGAGCCTTGCACAAGGCGATACAAACCTTACAGATATAATGCTAAATCTCCCAAGCGGTAACCCTGCACACCTTCCACATAGTCGGGATCACCCAACTCGAGAAATCCACGGACTCAGAACAAGGCTAGCGATAGCCAGGCAGTCCAAGTCAGATGGTAAGCAGGATGAAAGATCGATCCTCCGTACAAAACAAAATTCTCTCGAAGCAACTACTGCAAGGCAGCATCAGCCACTAGACAACCACCAGAAGGACAGGAATCCTTTCTTCCTCCACCTTGCGCAGCTGATGAGGAAGCAACAGAGAGGAGGAAACGTGTAAAATGAAACGATACTGAACCACTAGTGCTCCCAATATATCTGCCAAGGGTCACTCGCTCTCGCCACGAACCTTGGCACCTCTTCTGGCTGAGTTGAGGCACCAGAAGGTACAGAACTGATGACTGAGGAAATTCGCCGGCCAGTTTCTAATGCCTGGAAAGTACATGGCGGAGAAGCTAGTATGGGAAGGTCCACCCATCGAAGGAAGTGTGAGACCTCCAGCGCCACTTCCATACTCCTCATATCGCCCTGAAGTGGACATAGGCCAGCAAAACGGCGGTGCCTGATTGGATCCTGGCTGGTTGCCCTCAGGGAAGATCCATCTGGTGATCCAGAGACAGCCTGATCACTTGTAGTTCCAGGACATAAATTGGGAAGCTAATCCTGCTCCGGCATCCAATGACCCTGAGCCGATCTCGACCCCAGGACCCCTCCCCAGCCAGACAGGCCAACGTCTGTTGTGCCCACTGTCCAATTTGGGGGGGCGGGGGTGAGAAGGAGCACTTTCCAGGATATAGGGGTGAAGACCAAAGCCACCAAAGGAGAGGGACCCTAACAAATCTGGTTGACCAGGAGAGCGGGAGATAGGTCCCCGCCCAGGATTCTGCTCTGCAGAACTGTCTCGTGGAAGGATGCATATGGAACCACCTTGGAGGCGAGCACCCTAGGGCCCAGGACCTTCATGCAAGACCACAGAGGACCATCTGCCGGACAGTATCAGCAGAACTGCAGACTGAAGCTTCTAGAGATAGTCCATCAGAAGAAACACTTTCTAGCTGCGTGAGTCGTAGAGCAGACCTAGATACCCCCACCATTTAGCTGGGGCAAAGCAAACTCTCTGAAAAGCAAACCCCATCCAAACTCCAGCAGAGTTCAAAACAAAAAAGTTACAAAACTGCTTTTTCTCCAGTATCAGGACAAGCACTCCCTTGAGTGGCAAATCCCACCCCGCCCCACACAGCTTGCAGGTAAGACAAGGGGAAGTGAAGAATGGACAGGAAGAATTTCTTCAGAGGATACCAGAAAAAAAAAATCTAAGTGTGAAGCCAGACACATTCAGCTCGTAGGTAAAGTTGATGCAGATGAGGAAGGCCTACCAAATGGCCTATGGAAGGCGAACCAGCAAAGAAGACCCTCCCACCATGGAAACGGGTGAGACCAAACCCGCATTGCTGAGAAGTTCTTGATTGCGGTCTTCGGTCAATGAACAGTAAGGACCGTGCATGAGGTCTCAGGAATAAGGTCATCCAACATGTACGAGACAACAGACACCTGTACTGCCCAATTCGTAAGCAGGTACAGGCACCCGAGTCTCCGCAGAATCCTTAGCGAAAGAGATTCTTCTATCGGTATTATGGCTGCAGTAGTCAACCTTGAAGCGGGGGGTTGGCTATCCATTACTTCATATTGGCCACGTTGCAGTACAAAGCCCACCACCGCAGGTTGCAATTACTCTGGATAAATTTAAGGTAGCCAGGCTGTTTTTGCTCATCAGCGTGCCAGTTGATCCAGAGTGCCGCCACAGACCTCCAGAAAAATGGCTGCCACTTGCCGGCTACCAAAGTCCAGGTCCCAGCTACTACAGCACACAGCATGGAGGGACTTCAGACCACAGGGAAATTGCCACGAGCCATCTCTAATAAAGCAATTCGGACTGCTGGTCATCTTCTTACGGTTGTGGATAACACTACCAGATGGAACCACCTCTCCGCAGAACTAGCGGGGGGGTAAATATTGGTTCGGTCTGTTGGCCAGGGTAACACTGATAGACTGAAGGTGCCCGGTCATGTGTGTTCCCCTGAGACGTTTAACTCGCTGGCGGCTTTGCTCCCAGATGGAGCTTTGTTGCGGTCGACCTAGCACTTAAGTAAAATGTCTTTGCACAAACTCTTTGCCAGACTGTGGTGACCACTGGATCTAGATCATCTAGCCCGTCTCGCAGCCAAGCTGTTGATTGAAGATCTCCACAGGAAAAAAATCCCAGAAACAAAAAGGGGAAGAAAAAAAAAGGGGGGGGGGGGGGGAGCTAGGAACTAAAAGGTCCCAGCAAAGAACTAGGTCCTTACTCCTACACTAGGCAGAAAGAACTGGATTGCCTATAGCAGAAAGGGGGTTTATACCAGCTAGGACTGCCCATAGGTGGTGTTAATTCTTTTTCTGCCTAGTGCCCCACTCCTGTAGGTGGCGCTATAAACCCAATGGTCAAAAATAGAAGAGAGCTGTGTCTGTCAACATAAGGGAATTTTGAATTAGGAGTTCTGCAATTACACCTCACACTTCTATTCCGGACAGGCTTCCTTTAAAACAGCCATGCCTCCCTACTCAAAACAATGTTGCATTTTAAAATTATTTACATTTTTTAACCACTTGCCCTCCAATCAAAGGGTTAGTGATTTACCCCCTTCCTGACCAGGCCATTTTTTGCATTACGGCACTGCATTATTTTAACTGACAATTGCGCGGTCATGCAATGTTGCATCCAAATGAAATTGCTGTCCTTTTTTTCCCCCATGACCTTTTTTCCCCCATGAATTGAGCTTTCTTTCAGTGGTATTTGATTACAGTGTTATTGCTTTTTTTTTTATAGCGCAAAAAAAAAAATAAAAAAGCGCACAGGTGATAAAATACCCACCAAAAGAAAGCTCTATTTGTTTGAAAAAAATAAATTGGACGTAAAGTTTCGTTAACTTTTCACACAAAGCAATCAATATACACTTATTGTACAAAAACATGCATTACATTTTGCAAATGACTAACTTTGAGTTTACAATATATTTTTTATAGCTGAAAGTAGAAAATATTGTTTTTTTAAAAAGTTTCGCGCAAAAAATAAAAAGCGCACAGGTATCACCAAAAGAAAGCTCTGAAAAAAAGGACGTTAGTGCAGCGCCAAACAGTTGAATTAGTGCAGCGCCAAAAAAAAAAAAGGCCTGGTCATTAAGGGGGGTAAATCCTCAGAAGTGCAAGTGGTTAAAAGAAATACTGTGACAAGCAACTGGCACTTGCCACTGCTGTGTTTTATGCTGGGATATAGCTTTGGATCTTGATTTATGCCATCAAAGATCTACATTCGATTAGTGCCTTAACTAGATAGACCACAAGGACCTAGGGAAATACAGCTGGTCTTCCAGTCAGCTTTCGACTGAAATTCAACAAGATAAAACATCCAGAAAAAAAAAAAACCCACAACTCTGAGAAATACACTCTGTTCTACTTCCATGGACACCAAAATAAAATGGAGCTCTAGGAGAGATGGAGGTTAGCCACTAGGAAGTGCTAGCTCTATAGGTTGCTTTTTCTTGCATCATACTCCTGCAGGTCTTGACAAAAACCCACTAGTTCATGTATTAAACCAAGTTCCTTAAAGAACCATTGATTCTAAAGTGCTAAAACATTATCACTGAAAATGTATAATTTTCAATTAACCAACTGGCACACTTCAAAAACTCTTTAGCAAATGGTACTTACTCCACCTGCACCTGCAGGGGCCGAGTGCTGGGTAGTGACTGGAGTCACTGGCTCCTGGTAACCGTATTTAGGCTGCTGCTGTTGCTGCTGTCGTTGAGGTTGATATGCTGCACACAGATACAAAAAAGACAAAATAGGAACAGTATTCGTTAGACATCTTTTTAAGGCAAGTGATAAACACAAGGCAGATGTTAAGCCCAAGAGCAAAAATATAATTTATTTAATGCATGGACACAAACAGAAAAACATGGGCAAACAGAAAAAGCGCTGAAAGGCTAACTCCACCCCCAACTGTCATACCTATGTTTTTGCTAGTATCCTAGGAGGTTTCTTTAGCGAAGCTGAGAATTCTAGATCTATTTTGCTCATTTTGTAGCCTAAGGCTCCTTTCACATGGGCATTCCTGTAATTGTCATGAGTGCTGGGCACACGAATAGCTGTGTATGTAGAAGCCATTTTGTTCACGCCACATGTCTACTATGTCATTTTCTAGGAAGGTATAGGCATATCTTCCTTCCCCACTGTCCTTCAGTTTATACAATACACAAACTGTTAACTGATGCCAGGACCTTGTTTTCAATCCATTGATCGACCACACAGACCTCTCCATTACTCAATCCACAATTTCAGCCTGGAAACCCCAATAAAAAAACTTTCACCCTCCAAGCTTCAGCAATACAGAGAATTAACAGATATCCGGTTGTAAATAGCTCAACTGAAGGGAGTAGCCAATCCACATTTCTGCTAGAATGTTTAGCAGCCAAGACACTAAAACTTCAGCATATTTCATAACTCATGAAATACAAACAGTACAGCCAAAATATAGACATATTTACATCCCTCAGCTATTAGATAGTATTTTGAACCCAAATACTCTTATGCAGGAGGTACCAGAGTGGATTAGGCCTCCACACCCCTCCTATGAGAAATGGAAACAAAAAAAAAAAAAAAAAAAAAAAAAAAACTTGATAAATAAGACCTCCATCTTCCTTGAACGTCAGCCAAAAAACTAGCATGGTGGAAGTGGTAGGGTTTAAACAGGGTTGGCAACAGCTTTTTTGTTTGCCAGTGTTCAAATCCTATTGTAGGCTTTAGTATATATCAGAATAAATGCATTCAATGTCCCTTAATGAACGATAAAGACATGTAAAAACTTTAAAATGTCCATAGTCTGAAAACAGATGCATTTTGAAAAAATATAAATACAACATGTCTTTTAAATTTGATTGGATGCTCTACAAAAAGCACAAATGTTTAAATTTTTGCTCTATTACCTGAGCTACTGGCTGGGGGTTGATGTGGGGGCATGCTCTCTGAAGGAGTTCGACGATAATTGGTACTATCTTCAGAACCTCTACGTTCATCTCCTGCATCAATGGAAACACTGCCCATCCGGCTCTTCTCAAACTCTTCATGATATTTAATCTAGAAATAAAAGGGGTATTAGAGCTCCCATTCACAACGAAAACTATCACAGCTAAATGTATAACATGACCACATAGTATTCTGGAACTCTGTTATAGGATACACAAACACACTATTAAAAATGTATGTAAACCTTAACAAGTAAGCCCTTGTAAGTTTTTTTTTTTTTGTTTGTTTTGTGTGCACCCTTGAAAAGGCAAAAAACGGATATCCAAAATTGTCTGACAGTTTAAAAGCCTTTACATCTTTTAGAACTTATATAAAAAATACAGTTAAAAAAAAAAAAAAGAATTTACCCTTTCGCTGCCAGAGCTGTGTTTATTTTTTGCACATGATTAAAAAATTATTTTAGTCCTGAAGATTACACAAAACCCCCAAACATTTCATATTTTCTGAAAGCAGACATCCTAGAGAATAAAATAAAATAGTGGTAGTTCCATTCTTTACGTCACACGATATTACCACAAAATTTCAGTAAAAAATACAATAAAATGAATTTTAGGGGAAACACAATAAATTACCCACATTTTTAGTAAAATATAAAAGATGAGGTTGCACCAAGTAAATAGATACCAAACATGTCAAACCCTAAATTTGCGTGCGCCCGTGAAAAATTGCGATAAACTTCAGTACCCTATATTTTCTATAGGCGGCACTTCAAAAGCCCCTTATAGGTCATCAGTTTAGTGTTACGGAGGAGGTCTTGTGCTAGAATTATTGCTCTCACTCCGGCGTGAGCGGCAATATGTAACATGTATTGCAATCAAAACATTTTCATGCGTAGGCGCCCCCAATGCGTACGTTTATGTTCGTAAGTGCGTGGGGGTGGGGTGGGCCTCGCATTGCAATACATTCCTTCCCAGCTATTCTAGCTGGGGAAAGTGACAGGGATGACCTGGAAGTGATGTCATACATGTTGGTTTCTCTGTCACAGCACAGGTACCGGCCATGTCAGCCCCAGGCCCACAGATGGGCAACCAAAGCCCGGGATACATGGGGAGTCCACTACTGGGGGTGTGTGGGAAGCAATCAAATGGCACGCAACCACCTGACTTTCACCTGAAAGGCAGGAGTCAGCTTGTCAGATTTATACATAATCCCGGTGGCTGCAGCCACTGGATCGTGTGTAGAATGCCCCGCAGAAAAAGGGTTAAAATAGAACTGCAGGCAATACTCTTTTTTCCCCATTTTGGAAAGAGTAAAGAAGGGTTATAACCCCTGTCAGGTTTTTTTCCCCCATGATCTGTGTCCCATTGCGAAGATTTCCCTTCACTTCCTGTCCCATAGCCATAACTAGTGTCCCCATCGTAAGATGTCCCCTCTATTACTTTTCTGGTGATGATCCAAAATTTGGGATTTTCTTTTCATTTCACTTTCAATGATAATGGTAAACAGGACAAATAGAAAGTGAGAATCTCCCTAATGGGGACACAGAAAGCAAAGCAAAAAAAAAAAAAAAAAAAAAAAAAAAAAACACCTGACAAGGTGTTCTAATCCCTCTCCACTCTATCCAAAACATGTTTTTTTCACACTGGAAGGCTGGCAGCCTGCCAAGATTGTTTTAATAGGAGGAAAAGCTAAACCTGTGTTGTGAACTTTGAAAAGGTAAAGAGTAACTCATCATTCCCATCTGAGTGATCTATGTGCATTGCAGGGATTTTAACAAACTTTGTTTGCAGATTCCTATCTTTTGTTCTTCTGAGAAAAAGCGGTTTGTCTGTGTGCAAAGTGAATGAAAATGTGAGTGATTTTATAACTATCAATCAGCAGGAAAGTGGCAGGGTCTGCATCCCTTTAGATGTGAATTCCCTTTGGGAGCATCTCTCCAGAAATTACATTTTTGTTGCAGGGGATGCCCAAAATCTGACTTTCATCTTCCTGCTAAATGTCTTGGAAAATCAGAAAGCCAATCACACAAGCAGAAAATTACATTTAAGGGGAGTATTCTGTATACCATCTGTGTACAGCATGCCTTCAGATTGTCATATTGCAATGCATTTTACAGAAAATTAAGGCATTGCAGATTGAAAAAGGTAATGTTTAATAACATTCAATTACAGTATGACTTGTGTAACAATTGTATATGCTATATTATTTTGTTTTATTTGCTACATTTTGTTTGCCATGGAAGTGGAGTTACCCTAAAGTGATAATAAACATGTAATATATTGCAGTTTCATAATTTGGGCATTAAACCCAAAATGTATTATACTGCAGCTTACCAGTCCTTAAACGTTGTGGTTGCACTAATTTATCTTTCCAGTATTTCTGTAATTTAACAGACCAAGCTGTCCAGGAAATGTGTCAGATGGTTAACACTGACAGGGTGCTTACAATGGTCCGCTTTTATTCAATTTTGTAAAACCTTTATCCAAAAAAGAAAAAAATCAAATGTTGCTGTAGCACTTTATAAAGTTACTTGGAGTTCTGCTTTAATTTGATAGTCAAGTCCATCTAAATCTGCAAGTACATCTTAACCACCTCCAGTCCGACATATAGCAAAATGACGGACGCAAGGCGGTTCTCTCATTCTGAGAGGACGTCATATGACGCCCTCCCATTCTAACCGCGCATGCGCGGCTCTGGGAGCGTGCAGCGTGGCAATCGGCGGTGCGCTGTGTCCCTTGGATACAGCGGATCACCGATCAACGGAAAGAGCCGAAGATGTCGGCTCGGTCATGTGATCAGCTGTGTCCAATCACAGCTGATCACATGTAAACAGGGAAATGCTGGTTATCGGCATTTCTCTCCCCAAGAGCTGTCAGTCTGATAGAGGAGAGGAGAGCCGGTAATCAGCATTCCTCGGAGGGAACATGTACACAGATCATCAGAGCACTGAAGATCAGTGTGCCCTGATGATCTGTGTAGCCCCAGCAGCGCCACCTGTTAGTGTCCATCAGTGCCACCTGCCAGTGCTCATCCGTGCCACCTGCCAGTGCTCATCCGTGCCACATCAGTGCCACATCAGTGCCCGCCAGTCAGTGCCGCCTCATTAGCGCACACCAGTGAAGGAGAAAAATCACTTCCACTTATTTACTAAATTTTATAACAAAAACTAAAAAAAAACTGTTTTGAAAATTTTCTGTGGTTTTTGAAAAAATAAAAAACCTAGGAGGTGATTAAATACCACGCTATAAACAAAAAAAAGACAAATTTTTGAAGAAAAACTATATTTTTTACTTTCAGCTATAAAAAAAAAAATATTAAACTCAAAGTTATAAATTTAGGCCAAAATGTATTTTGCTACATGTCTTTGGTAAAAAAACATCCTATAAGTGTATATTGATTGCTTTGTGTGAATGTTATAGTGTCTACAAACTATGGTATAGATATTACAATTTACGCCTTTTTTTTTTTGCGATACAATGCTGCACTAATTTAACAATTGCGCGGTCATGCAATATGGTACAGAAATAAAATTTATGTCCTTTATTTCACACAAATAGAGCTTTCTTTCGGTAGTATTTGATTACCTGTGCACTTTTTATTTTTGGCGCTATAAACAAAAAAAAGTTTTAAAGAAAAAAAAGTTTAAAAAAAAAAAACATTTTCTCATTTCGGTCATAAAAATATCCAAAAAAAATTAAAATTTGCAATAAATTTAGGACAAAATGTATTTTGCTACATGTTTTTGGTTAAAAAGATCCCAATAAGTGTATATTGATTGCTTTATGTGAACGTTATAGCGTCTACAATCTAGGGTATAGATAATGGAATTTACACAGCTTTTACTTTGACTGCTTATCACATTTCTTTAGGTGCTAAAATACCAGGATAGTACAAAAAACCCCCAAATGAACCCTTTTTGGAAAGTAGACACCCTAAACTACCTGCTGAGAGGCATATTGAGTCCATGGAAGATTTATTTTTTTTTCCCACAAGTTTCTGGAATGTGACAAACTTTTTTTTTTTTTTTTTTTTACACAAAGTTGTAAATTTAAATGATATATTTCTCACACAAGCCATGGGTATTATTAATTATATAGGATTTATATAGCGCCAATGGTTTGCTCAGCGCTTTACATTATAGTGGGAGACAATCCAGTAACAATACAGTTCAATACAAGAGGGATTTGAAGGCCCTGCTCCTTGGAGCTTACAATCTAGGAGGGAGGGGTTAATGGTACAATAGGTAATAACTGTGGGGGATGGAGTGGTTGGAAAAGTAGAGGAATCCAGTATTAGCAGAGGGCAGGATAGGCTTCACTTAAGAGATAGGTTTTCAGTGATCGCCTAAAAGTAAGTAGAGTAGGAGATAGTCTGATAGATTGGGGTAGGGCGTTCCAGAGGATGGGGGACACCCTGGAGAAGTCCTGGAGACAAGCATGGGAGGAGGAGATAAGGGAGCTAGAGAGCAGGAGGTCTTGCGAGGAGCGGAGAGTACGGTTTGGGTGATATTTAGAGACAAGATCAGTTATGTAATTTGGGGCAGTGTTGTGGACGGCTTTATATGTCATTGTTAGTGTTCAGAATTTATCCGTTGGGCAACTGGGAGCCAGTGGAGGGATTGGCAGAGAGGGGTGGCAGATACAGAACGGTTAGTAAGGTGGATGAGTCTGGCAGCAGCATTCATGATGGACTGCAGTGGGGATAGCCTGCGATGAGGTAGGCCAATGAGGAGGGTGTTACAATAGTCGAGGCGTGATATGACAAGGGAGTGAATAAGTTGCTTAGTGGTTTCCGGGTTAGGAAAGGTCGTATCTTGGAGATGTTGCGGAGGTGAAGTCTACATGATTTTGTCAGCGATTGGATCTGGGACTGGAAGGACAGATTGGAGTCTAGCATTACACCTAGTACCCTGGCATGAGGGGAGGGACTGATGATTGTGTTATTGATCTTGATGGAGAAGTTAGGGGAGGGGGCACAGGCTGGGGGGAATACTAAGAGCTCAGTTTTGGAAAGATTGAGTTTGAGGAAGTGGAGTGACATCCAAGCCGATATGTCACTTAGTAGGCTAGTGATGCAAGTGGAGACTGAAGAGGTGAGGGGTAGACAGATAG